TTCTTCACACAAGGCACAGTCAGCCTGTGGAACTTGTTGCCAGGGGATGTTGTGAAGGCCAAATGTCTAAGTAGGTTCAAAAGAGAATTAGATAAGGTCATGGAAGATAGGTCCATCAATGGCTAATAGCTAAGATGGTCAGGCATGCAACCCCATGCCCCGGAATCCCTTAGTCTCCAACTGCCAGAAGCTCAGACTGGATGACAGGGGATGAATCACTCAAAATTGCCCTGTTCTGTTCATTCCATCTGAAGCAGCTAGTACTGGCCATTGTCCAAAGACAGAATCCTGGGCTAGATGAACCATTAGTCTGACCCAGTATGGCCGTTCCTATGTTTGGACATATACTGAGGGTCTTTTAAGAACAGCCCCCTGGCACCCTACCCACAACTGCCTATGATTTGTGCTACAACCACAAATCCTGGGAGTAATGAGTGCTATAGACATGCCCTGTCTTGCCTGTGAGGAGGGATAGTATAATAGGGCTGCTCATCAGCCTGTCACAGGGCATGACTGCTCTGAGCAGCCCCTGCCGGCTGAGTGTGGTGTTGCAGACACTCTCTACCTCAGTTTCCTTCTCCCCGGGTTTTCTGTCTCTCCCAATGATCATGTGGCTCAGCCCTCCAGCTGGATCACTCTGAGTTCAAACCCTTTTTAGGGTAACAAGTCTAAACAAGAGTCCCAGATAAACAAAATCCTCTCTTTTGACTTTTGGGCTTCTCTGAAACCTGCCCTCTGAGCCCTGCTGTCGGTTCCTTCTGGGTTACCTTTCAGTCTCGGTCTTTCCTGAAACAGGAACACGGCCCTCCTCCTGGAGCTGGGTAATTCAGGCATTTACTACCTCTCTCCTTAAGTCGGGAGTTTGCAGCTGTCCTCCTTGGAGCGAAGTTGTAAGTCAGCCAGCTGTAGAGCCTTCCCCCAAGTAGTCCTCAGACAAGCCAGCCTGCTAGCATCTACAGTGCTATAAGGTAGGAAGCCACCCTCATGCTAGTCCACTTCTCCCAGCTCATCCCCAATTGGTTGGGAGAGAAGGGAGCCTTGCCCCATCCTCTCTGCCAGGCACAGTGATGGCATTTCCTCCCGAGCCGGATTTATTCCTCATGACTACTTCATAATATTATACACACCCACAGAGAGAGAGAGAGAGAGAGAGAGAGAGAGAGAGAGAACACTAGAAGATATCAGACCTTTCAAAATGTTAAAGGGCTAATACCTCATGACAGGTACCAGTAGGCACCACTACCCTCAAGAAGGCAAAATATCCCATCAAAGAGCCGTATGTTACTCCTGCACCCAGGGATTTCTCCTCAGCTCCTTGCAGCAATTTCTTGGTCCTTTTACCTCAGCAGAGCAGTGTCTAAGGGCCAGAACAGGAACCAGTACTGGCCCCTTCAGGTCCGACCCAAAGCCCCCAAAAGTTAGTGGAAAGATTCCCACTGACTTCCATGGGTTTTGGATCAGGCCTTTAGTTATTTGGCAAACCTAATGCTTTTGAAGGTATTGTATGGCAAACATTAAAGAGAAATAATATGTAAACCAGTGTTTACATATGCAGTTACTGGAGCTGGTTGAATTTTTGTTTTGTTTAAAGCATTAACAAAAAAAGCCCCCCCCCCAAAAAAAGTAAAATTGTTCACAAAAGCCTTTATTAAATGTGTTTCTCAAAACTAGAAATGTCAGAATCTGACATTGTTTGGCTTTTCTTCTTTTCAGTTATTCCCCCCCACACTTCCTCTCGTATTTGTCCCATTCCTCTCCTATTCCCCT